TGTCGTTTGATTAATGATTCTGCTAGACCATTTTGAGTGTGATCATGTGCCACAGGATGTTCAACATCAATTCTCACTACCATACAATAATCATTAAATGTTTGAGATATAAATTTACCAACATTGTCATGTCTGACCCTTTTGATAATATAATCTGATAATTAAACCCTTAATTTAATAATTTGGACGAGTAAGTTAGCAGATGTCACATTTCGAGTGGATAACAAACTCACGTGCGACTATCTACTAGAAGCATCAATCAACACCATAGAATATCTGAATGAGCCACAAGGTGGATGAATAGGTCCACACATATCACCATGAATCCTTTCTAAAAATAATGGTGATTCATGTCCGACTTTAGTATTTGATGGTTACACTATCAATTTTCCTTGAGAACATGAGACACATGTTAATTCATGTGTTTGCAATATACTCTAATTTTTTAATGAATGACCATTAGAGTTTTCAATAATTCTTCTCATCATTATCGAGCCAGGGTGACCAAGTCGATCATGTCAAAGTTTAAACATTCCATTCGACTTTGAATTGGTTGCCGCATAAGCCTCGATTATATTAATGCGGGTGTAATATAAACTCGAGGATGAAGCAGATAACCTCTCCAAAACACATTTATTTCCCGCAATATTGATATTCATCTCCCCCTTTATTCATTGTTTCAACGTGGTATCCGTTCATTCGGATATCTTTAAAACTCAACAAGTTTTTTGTTGATTTTGGGAAGAATAACGCATTATTCAATGTAAATTTTGTACCTCGCATCATAAAAAATATGGCCTTTCCAGACCCCTTAATTATCTTTGTACTCTCTGATATTGTGTTCACTTTCCTTTATTTATTTTTAAGTGAACAAAATATTTTCTGTCTTTAAGTATATAGTGTGGGTAGTGACAAAATCTGCAAGACAAAAATCTCCATTTTGAATTCGGGACTGTTCCGTGATCCAAAACAAAAAAAATATTGTTGATCAATTTCGAAATACATATAATAATGGTTCACACACTAAGAAATTTTATCAATACACAGACAACATGATCATTAATTATTCTTTGATTATTTGTAGCTCATTCAACCACTGCATCAGCGAATTCCATTCTCAGCATATCATCGATGATATAGTCATCCTCTGCACATATCGGTTCATTCTCGAAAGATTCCTCCATCATAAAATTAGTTTCAATATTCTTCCCATTTGATTTATGGGAATCCTGGTAACTTTCAACCACGTGCCTTGGGGCTCGACAATTTCGTGCCCAATGTCCCTTTCTACCACATCGATAACATGTTTTATCATTGTTATCTTTCATGAAATTTTCTTCCCCTTTATCAAATTTTGATAAAATTCTCCCCCTTTCATAATTTTGGCCATGTCCACGATTGTATCCTCGGCCTGAATTGTATCCTAGGTGAAATTTTCGGTCTCGGCCAGAACGACGATCTTGACCATATCCACGACCACGACCCGAGTCATATCGACGTCCATGAGTATGGTTGTTTTCATTTATGGTTCCCTGTCAACATTTATTTCAGGAACCGCAGTAGACCCAGGTGTCTAGATTCATGATTTTTCATTAATAGCTCATTATTTTGTTCAACCAACAAGCAGCAAAAAATTAGCTCATAATATTTCTCAAAACCTTTTGCTCGATATTGTTGTTGCAAAAGTACATTGGACACATGAAATGTAGACAATGTTTTTTCCAACATATCATAGTCAGCTACTGTTCCCCGCATAATTTCAGCACTGAGCAAATTCGAAACATTGTTGAATTATATTCACTCACTTTTTAAAATCTTGGAAACGTAATGACATCCATTCATGACGAGCCCGAGAGAGAATAACAGTTTTTTGATGATCATACCTTTCTTTCAAGGCTTTCTAAAGATTCGTTGGATCTTTCACAGTTAAATGTTCATTTTTTAATCCCTCATTCATGTGATGCCTTAGAAAAATCATAGCTCTCGCTTTATCTTGTATGGATGAATCATTTGGGAAAATTATTGTTTTTTTCTATAAAATTGCATCCAAATGAATTTCACCATCTAATATCCGTGAAATATAATTTTTTCAGAGATGTCAAGTGCCCCAAACTCGAGCTTCACCAAGTTTGACATAGTAACTATAAAATACGACGTCAATGCTTAGATTGGAGAAAATTACATATACAATCATTCATCATTCAAACCGATCATAACAGCTAATAAGAAACACATTAGACAAATACATAATATATAAAATATAAATTCAGCAGTATGATACAACATCGTGAAAATTCCTAAAAATGTATATAATAACCAATATGATGGTAATTATAAATAATAAATCAAATTTTTTTTTTTTTTTCTTTTGAGGAGAATATATTTTAATATTTTGGAATGAGTGTTAAATACATGAAGCGTAGTTTTATATATATAGATTGATAAATAACCGTCGCAAAAGAGTCGTTAAGTAGCTGTTGGATTTTTTTTTTTTAGAAAAACACATTATTGATATAATATTTGTTAGTTATATCATTCAGGGTTATAAAATTATAGTTAATCATGCATATTACCTTAAAATTTCTCTGAATCACAAGGTAAACATTTTTAGTGAATACAAGTAACAAAACAAATAAAAATGTCACTCCACACTACTCGATAACTGCTTATTCTGGTACCCACCGAAAGAAAAGAATTATCGAGTGACATTTTTATTTGTATTGTTACTTGTATTCACTAAAAAAACATTTTTATTTGTATTGTTACTTGTATTCACTAAAAATGTTCACCTAGTGACTCGGAGAAATTTTAAGGTAATATACATGATTAATTACAATTTTATAATCATGAATGATATAACTAACAAATATTATGTCAATAATGTGTTTTTGTAAAAAGAAAAAAAAAATCCAACGACTACTTAACAGCTCTTTTGCAACGGCTATTTATCAATCTATATATATAACACTACACTTCATGTATTAACACTCATTCCAAAATATTAACATATATTCTCCTCAGAAGAAAAAAAAAGTTTGATCTATTATTTATAATTACCACCATATTGGTTATTATATACGCTTTAGGAATTTTCACGATATTGTATCATACTGCTGAATTTATATTTTATGCATTATGTCTTTGTCTAATGTGCTTCTTATTAGTTGTTCTCACCGGTTTGAATAATGAATGATTGTATATGTAATTTTCTCAAATCTAAACATTGATGTTGTATTTTATAGTTATCATGTCAAACTTGATGAAGCTCGAGTTTGAGGCACTTGACATATCTGGAAAAAATTATATTTCATTTACACTAGATGATGAAATTCATTTGGATGCAAGGGGTTTGAGAAAAATAATTATTTCCCTAAATGATTCATCCATACAAGATAAAGCGAGAGCCATGATTTTAGGTCTTATGAATGAGGGTTAAAAAATGAACATTTAATTGTGAAAGATCCAGCGGATCTTTGGAAAGCCTTGAAAGAAAGATATGATCATCAAAAAACAGTTCTTCTCCCCCGGGCTCGCCATGAATGGATGTCATTACATTTTCGAGATTTTAAGAAGTGAGCGAATATAATTCAACAATGTTTCGAATTTGCTCAGTACTGAAATTATATGGGAAAACAGTAACTGACTATGATATGTTGGGAAAAACATTGTCCACGTTTCATGCGTCCATGTACTTTTGCAACAACAATATCGAGCAAAAAGATTTTGAAAAATATTATGAACTGATTTCTTGTTTGTTGTTGGCTGAACAAAATAATGAGCTATTAATGAAAAATCATGAAACTAGACTCACGGGGTCTAAAATAAATGTTTAATCTCTAGACAGTGAACTGAAAATGAAAAGAGTCATACTCATGGGCGTCAATATGACTCGGGTCGTGGCCGTGGATATGGTCCAGATCGCCGTTTTGGCCGAGGACGAAAATTTCACCAAGGATACAATTCAGGCCGAGAATACAATCGTGGACATGGCCGAAATGATGCCTAAAATTATGAAAGGGGGAGAATTTTTCAACAAAATTTTGGACATGATAAAAGTGTAGAAAATTTTATGAAAGATAACAATGATAAAACATGTTATCGGTGGGTAGAAATGGGCATTTGACTCGAAATTGTCGAGCCCCAAGGCACGTGGTTGAAAGTTACCAGAATTCCCAAATGTCAAAAGGGAAGAATGTTGAAACTAATTTTATGCTGGGGGAATCTTCTGAATGAACCGATACGTGCAGAGGATGACTATAACATCGATGATATGCTGAGAATAGATTTTGCTGATGCAGTGTTTGAAGAAGGAGCTACAAATAATCAAGAATAATTGATGATCATGTTTTCTGTGTATTGATAAAATTTCTAAGTGTGATTGTAATAGTGTGTGAAACATTATTATATGTATTTCGAAATTGATCAACAATATTTTATTTTAGATCATGGAACAGTCCCGAATCTACAATGGTGATTTATGTCTTGCAGATGGTGCCACTACCCACACTATATACTTAAAGACAGAGAATATTTTGTTCACTTAGAAATAAATAAAGCGAAAGTAAACACAATATCAGAACTGCAAAGATAATTGAGGGGTCTAGAAGATAGGCCATATATTTTTATGATGGGAGGTACATAATTTATATTGAATGATGCGTTATTCTCCCCAAAATCAACAAAAAACTTGTTGAGTTTTAAAGATATCCGAAAGAACGAATACCACGTTGAAACAATGAATAAAGGGGGAGATAAATATCTTTGCATTACCTCAAATATTGCGGGAAATAAATATCTTTTGGTCCTCTAGCAATCGGCATGTCACCACTTGAACCTAATCTGGGCTTTGCATAATCCACGAATATAACACGCCCGTTAAGTGGCTGCAAGCACACAACAATCATGTTAAACTTTCAAGGGCTGCAAGCACACAACAATCATGTTAAACTTTCAAGTAGGAACTCGAGAAAAGGAAAAAAAATTTAAAGAAGTACAAACTAAAATAAGGGAGGGTGGAGAGTATTAGCCTTTCCGCTCATTTCAGCAATTGCTTTTTCAGCTTCATCTTCGGATGCATAAGTGACAAATCCAAAACCCTTTGATCTGTATACACTCTATCCATCACAATTGAAGCTGCCAAAAACGAACACATCCAAAGTCAAGCGGGATTAAATTGTTTCAAAAAATGAATAAAGATTTAACTAATGATAACAGATACTATACCATTAATGACGTGACCATATTGAGAAAATGCTTCATTCAGTCCCTGTTCAGTGGTGTAAAACGAAAGTCCTGCAAGAGTTCCATTTTCACGGAGAGGTCAATATCAACATCAGTTGGGTTCAACAAAAGAGCCTAGCACTCAGGTGTGTAGTGATATAATACTTGTCAGCAAGTGAATGATCAAATTTGTAATATATCCAATTATGAATGCCAGAAAACAAATAAATATTTAAGAGCAGAGTTGAGGACTTGAGAATATCTAGTGGAATTACCAATAACATGAAGCGAAAATTATGTTAACTATTACATATTTTAAAATTAACATATATTACCATAGTCATCATATCTTAGTCGACCTATTCAAATGGCTAGAAACAGAATGAACGAAATAGCATATCTATTTTTTTGGAAAAGGAGAGCAAATAGCTCTAGAAAACATTTCCTTTCATTGGGTGAGATTCTAAATGTTATGATCCAAGCAAGAGAAAAACGTCATAGTTCATAATAATAAAGAAACTTAATAGAGCTCTACAGATATTTGGCATATACAGCAACATGCATACTTCTGTTAAGGTGATTATGGGGATGAACCTTTTGGCTGTGGCATTCTTTTATTTTTTTTCTTGGAAGATTTACATATTATAAATATTTTGGTTCCGCTTTCATGACTTCCCTGAAATTGAAGGTTCAAATATGTGCTAAAAATTGTAGAAAACCATGTTCAGGACATTAAGTGGAGTTGGATGTAAAGGTGGATAACAAGCTCAACTGCTCAAGGTAGATAAATAAATGCTGCCCACAGGATAATTAATTTCAATTCATGCTATGTTCAGAACTGAATCCCAAAGCTTGACTTCAAATGGAGTTCAAGTTTCAGTCTAATATATCATATACACAAGCTTTTAATTGAATTTTAGTTTGCTACTCTACTATTTATTTACTTCGTATCTTTTATCTACTGGTTCTATATAATTTTAGTAAGATTATCACTGCTTATTTTAGACTTTTATAACCTTCTCTTGAAACATATTCAGTGGAACTGTGAACCCGACCTTCATTTTATGATTTTCACCAATCAACTCTCTTAAAATTAACTCTAAC